GGGAACAATAAGTCGATGAACAATGATAAATGTTTTCAACGTATCTTTGGTTACGAAGATGATTTCGTCACGTTCACTTTTGGGGGGGTGGCGGGGGGGGTATGATTCCACGGAGAATGGTTATGTTTTTCGGTGTAGTAACGAGCTTTGGTGTTTTTTTCACTATTTTAACGAATATATTAGTTAAAATAATGAATAAATAGAAATTAAATATTAAAAGTACCCGAATAATATAAATAATAATTACTATTTCGTAAAAGAACTATCCACAGTACCTTTCCACTCTTCAAACCTCATACCCGAATTAATATTCTCTAATTATTATCTATTTTTTGAATTAAAATAATAAAAAAATGTAATTAAAAATCATAAAAATAAAATAAAAATTTCATAAATTCATGTAACTACAGCAGGAGCCAAATGGGATAATTTTCGTGATTTTTCGAATATATTTTGATATTTTTCTCTATTTATTATCTATTTTACTGTATTTCTTGAATTAAAATAATAAAAAAATATAAATAAAAACCAGAAAAATAAAATAAAATTTCAAGAACTCTTGAATAATCAACAGGAACTAATTGGCATAACTTTCGTGATTTTTAAAATATATTTCGATATTTTTCTCTATTTATTATCTATTTTATTGTATTTTTTTGAATTAAAATAATAAAAAATATAATTACAAACCAGAAAAATAAAAAAAAAATTCAACAATTATTGTAATATCAACAGGAACTATTTGGCATAATTTTCGTGATTTTTAAAATGTATATTGATATTTTTCTCTATTTATTTGGTAATTAAAAATATTTTCGAATGAAAAAATTAAATAAAAATAATTACAAGTCGGAAAAATAAAATTCCAGTTTCTACGGGTAGATAATAATATAATTAATGTTAGAAAAAAATTTGGTTAAAAAATAAGTTGAATAAGATATAAAATATTGAGAAATAAAAAAGTTGCTTCCCTCGGCATTTTCAATGTCTAGTGGTCATTTGGCTGATTTAGTCCATTTCACTACTATAGGGGGGGAGGTGTCCAAGGAGGGTGCTAGGCCAAGGTGCTAGCAACTTTGCCCAAGGTGCTAGCAACTTTGCCCAAGGTGCTAGCAACTTGGGCAAAGTTGCTAGCAACTTTGCCAAAAGAGGGCCTGCCGCGCCCCCCTGCGGCAAGGAATGGTGGGCCACCACCCAACGGCGGCGGCACCACCACCCAACGGCGGCGGCGCTCCGGCGGCGCTCCGGCGGCGCTCCGGCGGCGGCGGCGGCGGTCGGTCGGAAAAAAAAAAAAAAAATTTTTTTTTTTTTTTTTTCCAGTCCCTTTCGGAAGAGGCCCGATAAAGAAAGATGCCGGATAAAGAAAGATGCCCGAATTAAGAAAGATGCCGAATAAAGAAGGTTGCTTGTCGCAAAAAAGAAGTTGGCTTGTCGGTAATCAAGATGAGGCCGGTGCGGTGCTTCGGCGAAGCCCGGCAACATGCATTCTTACGGGTTGGTATGGTATGATAATTTGTGCTTGTCCGACCATCATTGGGTGGAGTTCTTTCTCAATAGCCCCCAATAGGCGATTGGAGTGTCAAACGGCTGTGTTGCGTTGTGGGATGGCTCTCATCCGAAAATGGTGTGGATAGTACGAGTTATGCTTCGAACCCCACTCTGTCGAGGAAGTGAGTTGTCCTTCGGGCAATGCTGTTGGTTTGCGCGTTGCCTATTGGGAAAGGTTGTCTCGCTCGTTTCTCTACTCCGGTG